CGGTTTCTTTTTAACATTTAAAATAGCTGATAGTATCGAACTAATGCAATTTATTTATTAAAGTTAATATAACACACATACTTGAAAGCGATTTAGAAAACCTTCAGAAACAATAAGGCGCATTGGTAGAACTCTTTTAGAAATATGTCAAGTAATACACACTTTGTATTTATTAATCATATTCTAACTAGCTGCTGGAGAATATAGCTGTATTTAATCTGAATTTAATAAGAAGGTTGTTATTGTTGTTATTTTTATTTTTAAAAAAGCAACCATAAATTTAACTTTTTTCAGCTTTTTTCATAGTCACCGTACTCAATTGCTTGTTGGCACTTTGTAAAAATTTTCGATATAAAAAATTTGTGTCCTCAACTTATTCTTATCTTGTTTAAGCAGATGCAGTTCATCTGTTACGCCAATATGATAAACTTTAAAAATATTAACCACCCAATATTTGAACTTTGCATTACACTAAAGGTCTGGAATATAAACATTCATTATAACGACTTCTATCCATCAAGCTTCGCTTGTTATAAAAAATAAACCATGATGAAAATAGAAAATTAATGAGTAAAATAGTAGATCCACAAAGTTTTACTAATCAATTCTACTATATTGTCTTTAGATGGTGAATACAGTTATTTTGCTTTAAATTGTCTAACTTGCAATACCCAGAAAAAACAATAATAATACGTTTTTAATTGCCAGCTAGTAAGTAAAGTTTATTTTATATATGAGATAATTATCCCATCTCTAATTATCAAATCGTATTGATTTACTAGTACGTGAGTAGAAATTTTGTAAACATGCGACATGAAATATTTTGTTAATCCATCGTATTGTGTATTAAAATTACTAGAGTGTGAGTAAAGTATTTACTGTTATGCAAAAAGTTCTGTTATTAAATATAACACTTTATTAATTAAATCTCTAGTGTGTGAGTACAAAGCTTTCTATACTCAACTTTAAAATATATTATTTGTTATCACGTAATTCTTTATTATTGCATATCATGCTGCTGCAGAGTGTGAGTATAAATTATATTAATGTAAATTTACTGAGAATATGGTCTTTTATTAAATCCAATTATCTATTTTTCCTTGACCGGTGAGTATAAAGTTTTGTGAATTTAATCAATATTTATGCTTACAAATGACAATTATTTTTTTCTATGTTTCTAATAATAAAGGTGTAAAGAGTGTAACGCCACGTATAATACTCAGGATTATGGATGGTGTAAACTATGCAATTCAAAACATATTCTAAATAATTTTAATAAATTGAGCAGTGGTGATTCTGATATTGACAAGTTCCTCCAAACAACCCAGCTTAATACAGATTCTCTAGAAAGGATAATTGAGTGGATACCATATGACAGACTACAAGATATAAAATATATCGATAAGGGTGGCTTTGGAACAATGTATTCTGCTACTTGACTGGATGGGCAAATTTTTGAATGGAACATAAAGGATCAATAATGGGATCATTTTATAAATCAAAAAGTAGTCATAAAAATTTTATCAGATTCATCTAACTCAATGAGTGAATTTTTAAAAGAAGTAAGT